AAGAGGGAGGGGGGCAGGGCCCCACTCTCAGGAGGCAGCACTAGGGAGGAGAGGGACATGACGAGCTGGGTCGCTGGTGGGTCTGGCCACGTGGGGGCCCCAATGGAGGGAGCAGGGCAAGCGGAGGTCAAGGACCCTCACCTCGTGGAGCTGAGCCCCTCGATGGCGGACAGCATCTCGTCATCATAGGAGTCGTCCTCCGACCGCCCCTTGGGGGGCGCACTTCTGGAATCAGACACCCACAAAGGCATCATCCCAGGGTCCCGCATCCACTGGCGCAGAGGCAGGGGTGTGGAGCCTCATGCCAGATGGCAAAAGGACAGGCAGATCCCGCTGAGGCCCAGAGAGGGCAAGTGACAGCCTGGCATGGCCCAGCTGGCCAGCAAGAAACAGAGTAAGGCCCCAGCTCCCACTCCAAGGCCTCTTCCTCTAGAGCCACAGGGTTCCCTCATGCCAACCCCACTGAGCCTGCTACCCAATGGGCACACAACCAACAATCGTTCAGTTCTGTTCCAGAAACTCTGACCCCAGCCACGGCAAACTCTATGGTCAGGGCTGGGCCTCACAGACCTGCCCTCCTTGGCAGAGGCTGGTCAGGGCAGCCTGCCTGGAGGAGGTGACTAGAGCAGGACTTCATCAGAAAGGAAGGCCACATTTTGCCAGGGGAGGGGACAGCATTCCTACCTGTCAGGGGTCCGTTGGCGCCGCAGGGGGATGGCCTGGAAGGGAGGAGAAGAGACTGTTACTCTGCAGAATGCAGGGCCGAAAGTCCATCAGGGGTCTGGGTCTGTTATCTCGGATACGTGGGCAGGGTGTTGGGGCATCCTAGCCACAGACACCTTGAACCAAGGCTGAACTTGTTGGGGAACAAGGAGGATGGGGGTATCCTCGCCCCCCAGAGCACTCTCCACACCCCATCATGTCCCCAGGAGGGACACAGGGCAGACATGACCCATTTCACAGATGGAGAAAGTGAGGTCGGCTGAAAGAACCCTTTAGCACAGGCTCTTCTGCCGCCTTTGAAGGGCATCCCAGTCCCCAGCTCCCTGGGAGGATGGGTCCTACCTTGGGCCTCCGGCTGCTGGGGACAGGGGTCTCGTTGCTGCTCACACTCTCTCGGTGGTTGAGGTGGGCGAAGGGCCGCGCAGCCCCCCAGGACTCCAGGTAGCGGGTCATGCGCAAGGACGCCCGCAGCTTCAGGGCCGCATCCACCTTGGGCTTGGGGAGGTGCTGGCTGGGTGGAGGCGGCTGCTGGCTCTGCAGGCAGACACAGGAATGGCTTGTCCCACCCTCGCCTTCAGCCCCCGGAACACAATGCTGCCCAGAGCAAGGCCCATCTGGCCAAAAGGGAAAATGGCAAAAAGACTGCTGGGTTTGCAGTGCTCAGGGCCTGGCTGAGGCCCAGTGCACTTCTTGGCTGGGCTAAAGGGGTGGCCCCAATTTGGGGACCAGGCCTCCCCATTCCAGGAAGTACCATGCACAGCCCCTCACACCCTTCTCCACCTCCCTAGGGACAGAAATGGATGCTGGTCATAAGCGCTTAGGGACCAGATACTGTCCTTGGGGCCTGAAAGCCCAATGGCCCCACCCCATGAAAGCACCTGGGGAGACGGGCCCAGGGAAGCCACAGGCATCCAGCTCTGCCCTCCTGCATGTGGCTGACATGGGTCCTTCCTGTGTGGATCAGCCAGGAGGAAGAGGGGTGCTGGCCACCACACAGAGAGGCGACCCACCAAGGGGCCGGCCCCCACCCCGAGGCACCATTCTAGGGATTTCCACTTGTGTGGCCCTCAAACCACAGCGCAGGTCCATTACTTGCCACGTGCCTGCTGTAGCCATGCCAGGGATGCGGCAGCTTAGCCAGGCCCTGAATGAGGGCCCACCCCCTACAAACAACACTTAGACCTCCCCCCTGGGGAGGCCAGGGAGGAATGAAGAGAAGGGAAGATGACAAAGACCCCCTAGGCCACCAGAAGCAAGCCTGGGCCATCTTGAGGCCTCTTGAGTCCCCCTTACCCCCTGACATTACTGCCCTCCAGGAGTCCCCATCTCCTTGGGTCCCCACAAACACCTACAGCCACGAACACTCGCGAAGCCACAGGGGCAGCTTCCCTGAAAACTTTTCACCTCCTTTTGGGACAGAGGCATTTCTAAGCCCTGAGAGGCGTCTGTCTGCCTGGCCAGAGGGAATGACGTGGAATCTGGCCACCGGGAGAGTCCCAGGGTCCCAGAATGCACTGAGCCCTTCGCTGAGCACCTGCCCTGGGGTGGGAGAGGTCAAATCTTCGTCACCCTCCCGTCAGACATCCCTGCGGCGGGAACTCAAGGAATCACATATCCGCTTTGGAGGGGCGAGCTGGCCGCCAAGAATGCGCAGAAGGCTTTCCGCAACACACCCTCCGCGCCTTTTGCATTTCCAACTGAGAATGACTGAGATTACACTAAGGTGGGTGGGAGGCAGGGGCCGGTTAAATCCTGCCTGAGACACTCTCACGGAGCACTTCGGGCTCCCACG